GGACAGGGACTGAGGGATGTTCTCCAATGTTCTCTCTTTTTCTTCCCATGAGAAAAAAAGACAGGATGGTTTGGGTGCCAAGTAATTGATCAATGAAGTCCCTGGCAAACCAAGAGCCCCTTCAAAAAAAAAAAAATCTCTCTTCTCCAAAAGTGTATGAGTCTATCCAGGAATAGATCTGGTCTATCCAGAAATCTATGTGAGAATCCCCACCCCTGGCAGGGTTTCCAGCAACCTTTCTCCCTATAGGGAGGTGAACCCAGGGAAATACCAGAATAGTTCCCCAGAGCAGGCAACTTGTAGAAAGAAGGGCTATGTAACAACCCATCTATGTAGCCCATGTGAAACGTTAAACTCAGAGATGCTCTGAGTACATATTTTGGCTAAATGCTGAAGGGATAAATATTAAAGTCAATATTTGATTAGACTAAAGCTGACTATTACCAACACAGAATGAACTTCCAGGATATGACAATAAGTCTGAACTCTCATAAGTTTTTATTATTAATACTATTATAACTCAAATGTTTTAAAGAATTAGTAGATCGATCATAGAAGTTTGACATTATGCTGAAGGAACAATCATTTCTTAATTTCTCAGTAATGACAACTGCTGGATAGCTCCTGTGGTCACTACAGCACACATTTATGATATTAAATACATGTTTAGCCAGGTGCAGTGGCTCAAGCCTGTAATCCCAGCTACTTGGGGGAGGGAGGCAGGGGCTGAGGCCAAAGGACCACTCAAGCCCAGGAGTTCAAGACCTGCCTGGGCAACATGGCAAGACCCTGTCTAAAAACGATACAATAAATAAATACGTGTTTACTTTCAACTGAGGACAATGAAGGGGAACACTTTATTTTTCCCAAATGACAATCCATGTCCTAGTTATGCTAGTTATTAATAGATATGATGATAACCTAGACAAACACATGATTCTTGATCACACAAGTTTGAGGAAGGTATAAATAATGCTGAAATAGGCATTTGGCTACTTGACTCTCTGAAGAATGAGGCCAAAGTCAAATTTCAGTGCACCCTAGATACACTAGGATGAAGACTGGCTGCTTTTTATCTCCCCTAAGAGCAAAACAAAAATACATATATTTGTATGAAGCAAGAAATCAGATTTTATAAAAGAGAAGGAAAAAAACCTTTCTTTCATCAGGACAATCAACAACTATCCCATCCCCCTCCCCTCAAGGAGATCAGATAATGGAAGGGCCCAAGGAAGTGTTAAAACCAAGTCTTTACCTTCAAGGGGCTCCTGGTCTTCTTGGAATGACAAAATATCATCATACAAAGCTACTGTAAGTTAAACAGTCAAGTTCATAATCAAGCATTAAAGAGCAAAAGGCACAGATGTGATGTAACATCAGAAGAGAAGCACTCCTTTGGAACTGGTGGAGCAAAACCCTCTCTAGCACAGTGGTGCTCAGTCTCAAGGCTGGAGACCTCCAGGTCTTCAACTGCACATTCCAGTAATAAACAGGTTGATGAAATAAATGTGGCACACATACTAACATTTACCTACCTCCTATCTGCCATACACTGCTTTAAGTACGTAAGACATTATAACCACTTAATCCTCAAAGAAAACCCTTATGCATTAGGTACTATCGTGACTGCCATTTTAGAGATGAGGAAACCTTGCCCAAAGACTGACAGTGAGCTCAGTTATGAGCTGAGATTTGAACCTACATAAACCCAATCTACAGCCTGTGCTGGCATTTGAACCCAAGTGAATCCAATCCAGAGCCTGTGAGCTTAAACTTTACACTATCCAGGTCTCCACCATGTACAGACTTCACATAGAGGCCTACTACTTTAAAATTGTATGAAAATGGAGCTATCATCACTAAAATAAATAAATGTTTTATTAAATGTGGAGTAGCTCTTTCGGTCAGCATTATTGGTGTTTTCTCAATCAATAAACACCAAAAGTACTAGGAAATTATGTAACATTTTCTGGCATTACATTTTCAACACAAATTATATTGGTAATGTTCTAGCTCTTAGGTTGGGTGGTAGGTTCTCAAATTTCATTGTGTTGGTATGCTGTATAACATGTGTATGCATACATGTATTTACACATATTTATACACACATACTTATCTCACATTCTTTTGAATGATTCAAATATTATATAATTTTTTAAATGTTAAGTGCACTGGCATCCTAAGAAGCTCAAAACATAAACTGTAGAAACAAACGGTTTTCATGTGTAAAGGATGGGCCCAGAGTTGGGGAGATAAGCCAGGTAAACTCAGAGAGGCTCATTCTGGCAATAATGAAGCTTCTAGACCCAGCATGAGTCACCTACGAGTAAGGTGGATGATAAAAAGTAGGCTCTCTTCCTCTTATAAAAAGGTGAAATTTTGGAAGAATTTTTGAGTGATACCTGTTAAACATGTTTAATAAGAATACTAATTTAGGCCAGGTTCAGTGGTTCATTTCTGTAATCCCAGCATTTTGAGAAGCCAAGAAGAGAGAATCTCTTGAGGCCAGGAGTTCAAGACCAGCCTGGGGAACATAGCAAGACACTGTCTCTACAAAAAAAGAATATTTTTTTAATTAGATGGGAGTGGTGGTGTGTGCCTATGGTCCTAGGTACTCTGGAGGCTAGGGTGAGAGGATCATTTGAGCCCAGGAGTTCGAGGTTTCGGTGAGCTATGAGTTACGATCATGCATGCCACTGTACTCCAGCCTGGGCAACAGAGCAAGACCCTGTCTCAAAAAAAAAAAAAAAAAACCAATTTAAATGGGCTGAGGAAGGGGTGAGAAGATGGAGGAACGAGAATAAAACACCTGTGCACTTTCTACAGTGAGTATGTGTGAGTTTTGCCATCAGAAAAACATAAACAACCAGGAAAAATTCTAGAAACAGTAAGGTCCTCCTCCAGGATTTAAGACCCCAATGCTTGTGGCCCCCTCATTTACTGCTTCACTGAGTGGAGATAGAGCTTTCTCACTGGGAATCTTGGCCTCAGGCTCTTCCCCCCAGTATCACCCTCTCTCACAGACCTCTGTTGTTCTTAGCGCTTTGTCCCCATCTCCACCGTAGTGCTTATCAGAATAATGACCATTATTTACTAACCACCGGCTTAGAGGCTAGCACGGTGCTTGATACCATACATTCATCCCCTCTCTTTTAATCATCAAATCACTCTCACTTACACATATTACTAGCCCCATTTTATAGACAAGAAATTGAGACTTAAAGATTAAGTAACCTGCCCCAAATTAAACAGATAGCACATGGGCAACCCAACCCTTTCCTTACACCAAAGCTCATGCTCTTTCCACTATGTTATTAAGTTATGTATTTATACAGTGGCAGGCATATCTTAAAGTGCTCAATTAGTATGCGCTGAACAGAATTAAAGGAGTTGGACCAACACTGTCTACTTCCAAAGAAGAAAAAGACGCAGAAGAGCATTACTCTAAAGGTGAACTCTTTTATCCCGACTTGTTTTGCCAAACAAATGGCCCTAGTATTAAAAGAAACTACCACACATGGAGAATCAGGAGGTGCATAAGCCAACCACGGGAGAAAACTGCCATCCCGCAAGCCAGCACCCCCCATCCTGGTTTCTTGGAGTCTCGGTGACCCTCCGCACTATTGCTTCCGTAAAAAAGAAATAGATTTAATCCTACAGAAGCGACCCCCGCCCCCACATCCTCTGAAGGTATCTCCAGCCACCTAATGAGACATTTCTTAGTTGTGGCTAAACTCATGTAGACTGTAAATTGCTAGAGAGAACGGTTTTATTTCTCGTACATCACCTTCTAGTCAAGTTTCCTCAGAAGGAACTATAATAAATAATCACGTTGTGATATTGAAATTTCATCTCCAGTAGCGCTTTCAATCACCTACCTAGATGAGGTGGTTTGCGTCCAACAGCACAGTGCCCAGCACGCAGCGAGAGCTCCCAAGAAAATGTTATCACTGGAATAAAAATTCATTCGGCCAATAACTATTTGACACCAAACTGGTGGTAAGTGCTGAACAAATCAGACCCTGCCTAGAAGGCTCTTTTGGTCAAACAGCCATTGTTAAGGTAACTAACCACAAATTGGGACCCACCACACACGCTCCCTACTCCCGGGCGGTCAATAAACACTTGGGAACCAAAGACTGAGAAGAAAATATTCCTTCTTGTGGACCTTTAGTAAAACGGAACGCCTTACTTCGTGCGTTGAAGCCATTATTGTTTGTAAGTATTAACCGAAACAGCAGTTTTATTATTGACGGGGAAGGTCCCCTTAATATGTGCCCCATTTAGCCCGAGTCCTTAGCTCGGTGGGTCATTTCTTGCAAATCGGCCGCTCCGAGCATTTTAAGGAACTAAAGGCGCGAACATCTGGCCGTAGCTGGGTCTCCCTGGCTCTGGGGAAACTGAAGTTGATTCGTCCCACTCTGTGCACCGGGTAGCCGCTGTCCACTCCCTCCCGCGCCCGAATTCTCTTGTCCTCTTCCTCCCAGGTCGCGAGGGCTGCACGCGAGCGCAGGCCGGGAGGCCACGCCGCCCGCGCTCACGGCCGGTCCCGCGCCGCGCACATCCGGCTGCCCGCTCCCTGGAACCCGCCGCGGGCCGCATCCGACGCGGTAGGTCTGAGCGGCCGGCAGGCCCGCGTCGGGAGTGATGTCGGGGATCCAGAAGTACCTGGAAGAATCCAGGCAGAGCGGGCAACGGGCGGGGGACGGCCCGGGCAGAGCGCTAGGGGGATCCCCAGAGCCTGAGGGTCCCAGGAGAAGGGGGCGGGGGCAGGCAGCCAGCCGGAGGAATGAACCAGAAAAAAAAAATCGTAAAAGCGCCCTTAGCACTAAGAGCCCGAACCGGCTCAGCAGCCGCAGTCCTCTAGAAACTTCTCCACCCCCGCCCCCCGTCCCCGCTCCTGCCGGCCCCGCCCTCGCGGCGGGTGGGACCAATCGCTCCCCCTCGCAGCGCATTCCCCACCCACTCCCGCTCCCGCGCCCACCCCGCCGCGGCTGCGAGCGCCGGTAGGAGAGGCGCTCGAGCCTTCGCCCGCCCCGCAGTCGGCGGCTGCTGCGCCAGCGCTCGCTCGCCCGACAGGCAGGCAGGCCCGGCGGCCGACAGCGCTTGGCTCGCGCCCGGTGTCCAGCTCCGGAGTAAACGGCGCGCCGAGCGGCCATGACCGCTGAGGAGATGAAGGCGGCCGAGAGCGGGGCGCAGTCGGCGCCGCTGCCCCTCGAGGGAGTGGACCTCAGCCCCAAGCAAGATGAAGGCGTGCTGAAGGTGAGGGGCGGCGGCGGGGGGCGGCCGAGGGCCTGCGGGGGCGGCCGAGCCCCGGGCGCCCAGCGCGACCGCCCTTCCGCCGAGCTCGGGAGCCCCCCGCCGGGGCACGGGACGGGGCCGCCGTCTCTGCAGCCTCTGGACCACTCCCCGGTGGGTCGTGCACCGGCGGCCGGTGCATCGCCTTCCTGGACCGGGCTGCGCTGTTGGGGGTGGGGAGGGGGTGGCCTCGGTGCGCAGGCCGCGCGGCATGGCCCTCTCCCGGCCCCTCGGAAGCCTCTTTTCCGGGCCCCGGCCCGCAGCGCCTGGGCGCGGGCGGGGGACCGAGACTGCGGCGCCAACTCCGGCGTGCGCGGTGCTGCGGAGAGGGGCGGGGCGGCCATCGCGGCGCACGCGAGCCGCGGCTGGGTATGGGCTGGGGGCCCGGGTGCGCGGGCCTGCTCCGACGCCGCCCCCTTCACCTCCACCCGACCTCGCGGCCCCGGCCCAGCTGCCGGCTTCTTCCCTGCCAGCCGCAGCCGGGAAGTCCCCGGGCCACCTTGTTGGAGGTGGCGCGAGAGCTCGCCCACTCTGGCAGTTAAATATTAGCCAGGAGGTGGAGCGGCTCCCGAGAGTGATTTCCTGGCCCAGAGGCCTTTGTGCGGCTCGGCGCCTGGGCCTGGCCGCGAGGAGGGTTCTGGCGCGCCCCGCTTTCTCGGCGCCCGGTTTCGGACGCTGGAACCCCACCGGGCCGCCGGTTCGGGCGGGCCCACTCCCTCTGCTCGGGGAAAACCGGGGAGCGGTGCATGCTGGGACCTGTAGTTCCCCTCCACCTCGCCCCCACTTTGCCCTCCGGAGTTGGGGTGTGGGGTGAGGAGGAGGTGCTTTGCTTTGGAGCCTGCTGCTGAGTAACTGCTTGACTACAAACAGTCCGAGGAGCGAGGGGGAGGGCATCTTGACCTCGGTCAGGACAACCAGCTCCAGGTCAGAGCAGGTTGTGCCGAGAGTCCAGGATGGCGAAATCATTAGCCCGCATTTCATGCCCTCACCCCATCCATTGTTTCTTCTCATCCTGGCTTCCCACTGCTCAGCTCCACGCGTGTGCCACCTACCTCAGGAAGCCTTTACCTGGTCTAGAAGTGCATGCATCTGGCTTCGCCCCAGATACTTGGGACCTTGTGCACCTGCTGTAGCAGCTCTCCTGTAGGCATGTGGCTTTCCCCCTCTCTCCATCATCCTGCTGCTTTTATATTATACAAGGTGGTTATTGCAGGAAGAGTCCTTTCCTCGTATATTCTTCACCCCTTCCCTTCGACTTTTCTACTTCTTAAGGTCCCTTTCCACTCTTTCATGGAAGTTTTCCCTCATGTTAACCACAAACTTACCAGGTAGCCCGTGGTGTCACCTTTTGTAAATGCTAGAGAAGCAGAAGCCTGTAAGCTCCTGGGAACTACTCTAGCCTTGAACTTAATTATCCTGTCAGTAAGGACTACTCAAGTCCCAAGTCAGAGTTCAGGGGCCGATGGAGAGCCTCTGGGCTTATCTGTAACATGGTTTTTTCTTATACCTGTTTCAACTGTTCTATTCTCTTCGTTACTCATATTCCTCTCCTTCTCCTTTCTCCAAACCATACCCGGATCAGATGACCACCGGCATTTACGAAAAACAAGGAAATGCAGCATAAATACTTCCCCCTTTGCTGATAATAATAATAACCTTTTATTCAGCCCGTTAGCGGTTTAATCTTCCAACAACTCTAGGAGATAGGGATTATCATCACTGCTTTACAATTAAGATCCAGAGAGTTTTAAAAGACATCTCCATACAATAAAGCCTTTTTAACTCAGGTCTCTCAGGTCTTTTGCCTCGTTTTTCAAACCAAGTCTTGCTGCACCTCAAGGGCGCAGGGAGGTTAGTCCACTCTTAGCCAAGCTACTAGTAACAGAATCATTTGAGGGTTGGTGCCTTGAATTTGCTTAAAAGTAGGCAGGGGCAGGGAAGGGTGGAAGCGGAAGAGCCCTTTATGTTCCCTTCAGAGGCTTGTGGGCAGTTTTGGTGCCCCTATCTGCCCTTCTCCCTGGGGTACTCACTCTCTCCCCCCTTCATCCCAGGTCATCAAGCGAGAGGGCACAGGCACAGAGATGCCCATGATTGGGGACCGAGTCTTTGTCCACTACACTGGCTGGCTGTTAGACGGCACAAAGTTTGACTCCAGTCTGGATCGCAAGGACAAATTCTCCTTTGACCTGGGAAAAGGTAGGCATGGTTAGTGGGCTGGTAGGATAGGCTTCAGGCTATCACAAGCAGAAACCATATTCTCAGTACCAAGCTCAATGACGAGTGGTTTATCATAGTCTATTACTCTTTCTGTTACTCTTTTTTTCTTCTACTACTTTATAACTATATTGATTTCTGTCTCCCTTTCTTATCACCTCTCAACACCTCAATCCTCCTTCAGGGGTGGACTGCATTGCTTCTTAAACTCCTTTGTAGGGTCAAATGATCTGTTAGAGTTCTGAGACCGGACAGGACTTAATGCAACCAGGCTTCTTACCTCCTGGTTCCCTTTCTGATGGGTGTCTAGCTTCCCCATGGTGTGGTGCAGTGACACTCTCTGGGGACACTGTTTGAGCCCAGAGTCAGACCCTTGATAAGGGGGTCCTGTTTGCCTCTCTGTACCTGCAGGTGAGGTCATCAAGGCTTGGGACATTGCCGTAGCAACCATGAAGGTGGGGGAAGTGTGCCACATCACCTGCAAACCAGAATATGCCTACGGTTCAGCAGGCAGCCCTCCAAAGATCCCCCCCAATGCCACGCTTGTGTTTGAGGTGAGTGTCTGTCCACAGAGATCCAGGCAAAGAGCCAGCCCTTATCTCAGCCTGGTGCCTGGCTGCCCTCCAGCCCTTCCTGCCTCTTTGAGACAATGTAGCCAAGGCTGAGGGCCTGGCCTTAGGGGAAGAGGAGAAGTGGAGAGGGCAGCTAGCCATGCTGCTGCCAGATTGATCGGAAGGGGTAGCTATGAACCCCTTTCCAGACTTAAAAGTGTGGAGTAAAGGGTTGAGGCATCTTGAAAGCGGTACCTGGAGGAGATGGATTTGTCATTTTAACCGAAAGAGATCAGAAACTGTGCACAGTTATAAATGACAGTACAGAATATTGGCGGTCCAGAGATGAGAGGAGAGAGATGCCTCTCCCGGGGGTCAGGGGGTGAGGAAAGGCCTCACTGAGGAGGTGGAACTTGATACTGTTCAGTCCGAAGATGGCCGAGTCCACCAGTGGACATTTGAAGAATGTCCAGAAGACTACTGAGAGATGGTAGTCATTTGTATTGCCCACCAGATTGAGCTTCTAAAGTAGCCCGAACTAGGATTATTTGGAACATGTTCTTATTAAGCGGCACAGGTAGCAAATATTTGCTTTGCTGAGGTTAACTTAAATTCGTATGACCTGCCCACCTCTGCTGAAGCTGGGACTAGCACAACTCGCAAGAACTTAGCAAAAGCATCACTTTGTCCAACTCCTCATGTGACTGCCCTTGAAGTCAGATCTGGTCTGGCAGTTACTAAGGACTCTCTGGACAAGTTACTAAGTTTGTATTTCACTGTTGATGAGTTAGTATGGGAAGAAATTGTGTTGTTTTACCTCTTGTCCCACAGGTGGAGTTGTTTGAGTTCAAGGGAGAGGACCTGACAGAAGATGAAGATGGCGGAATCATCCGCAGAATACAGACTCGGGGTGAAGGCTATGCCAGGCCCAATGAGGGTGCTGTCGTGGAGGGTGAGACAGTAGAGTCTGGGGTTTTATCTTGATTCTGATATTTAGGCCCTGGGTGGCTTTGGGCAAGTCACTTCCCTTCTCTGAGCCTATTTTCTCATCCATAAAATGAAGGGCTGGACCATACCCTGTTTACATCTCTCCAGGTCTGAGAATAAGATAGTGGCATCTTGGGGGCAAGAAGTGATGGGATGATATAGGGAGGCTGATGGCATCCTTCCTCAGTCACCTGCCCTCTCATGCCCCTGGTACTTTGACTCTCTTTAATGCCAGTTGCACTGGAAGGGTACTACAAGGACCAGCTCTTTGACCAACGTGAACTCCACTTTGAGGTCGGCGAGGGGGAGAGTCTGGATCTGCCTTGCGGGCTGGAGAGGGTCATTCAGCGCATGGAGAAAGGAGAACATTCCATTGTGTACCTCAAGCCCAGGTAAGGGCTGGGCACTTTGTAGAGCAGACAGACAAACCAAGTTCAGAGATCCGAATGTCCACAGTGAGTTGTATAACTGGCTATTTGTATCCTTTCCTCTCCATGTGCTCACTGTGACTCTAGGCACATCAAACACACACCGTTATGATCTCTTCAGTGTAATTAGAAGTGTGGCCACAATTGTCTACATTTCCTTGGATTGAAGCCTCATCTTTTCAGTCACAGTTGCTACAGATTCCCTTCTCTGCCAACATCAAGATTTTCATCTCCCATAATTCATTCAGTCATTGCCATCATTTATTAGAACACATCCACTATGTGCCAGACACGCTGCTGAAAATTCCTGGGGATTCAAAGACATCGTTCCTGCCTTATAGTTCTAGTTCATTGTTCATTGTTCAGTGAGTTCCCATTTAAATTAGTAATCATACCACTGCATAGTTTTCAGTTATTGGAAGGATATAGAAGAGGCTAAGGGACCACCTAATTGTGTGAAGAGGTGAGGGAAAATTTTGCCAAACTGGAAACATTTGAACAAAATCTAAAGGGAGGAAGGTACTTTCCAGGAAGTGGACAGGAAGCCTTTTCAGCCTGGAACAGGTTAAGGGCTGCTGAGATGACCCAAAGTTTTTTACCCCTTTAGCTATGCTTTTGGCAGTGTTGGGAAGGAAAAGTTCCAAATCCCACCATTTGCTGAGCTGAAATACAAATTACACCTCAAGAATTTTGAGAAGGTGAGTTTGTTCGAGGTCTTCCCTGTCCTGAAGTCAGATTCCACCCTATAGGTGACTCTGGGGTAGCTGACAACTTTGTTTCTCCCCTGGGGTGTGGCAGGCCAAGGAGTCTTGGGAGATGAGTTCAGAGGAGAAGCTGGAACAGAGCACCATAGTCAAAGAGCGGGGCACTGTGTACTTCAAGGTGAGCCAACAGTCATTGTCCTAAGGACACAGACACTCCCAGGGAAAGCTGCTCTGAGCCCACCCTTCCTTCTGATGACTGAGATTATTTTCTGCCAACAAGTGGACAGGTTGGCACCTGCAGTCTTCACCTAGTGTATCTGAGCTCACTGGTCTTGCCAGTGAGGGGCGTGGAGGCTGGAATCTGGTGCCCATAGGTCACTGATGTCTCCAGGGTTTGATAGCTTGTTGCCACTGAACGTGTGCTAGGCACCTGAGCCTCCCTCCCCTTCTAGGAAGGCAAATATAAGCAAGCTTTGCTACAGTACAAGAAGATTGTGTCCTGGCTGGAATACGAGTCAAGTTTTTCCGGTGAGGAAGCACAGAAGGCACAAGCCCTCCGACTGGCCTCCCACCTCAACCTGGCCATGTGTCATCTGAAACTGCAGGCCTTCTCGGCTGCCATTGAAAGCTGTAACAAGGTGAGGCCCCCATAGAGGGCATGGAGGCAACATTCCCAGGCAAGGCTGGGTGAGTTGCCAGCATGTCTGAAACTTACCCTTGGTGACTAGGGTAGGGAAGTGGGTGGATGGGTGGGAGCCAAGGTTATGGGCCCAGAGGCACAGAGGTGAGTAGCAAGCACCTTGGCTTGAGTGGTGGAAGGCAGTTAGCACAGAAATAGGAGGAAGCACTGAGTGGGAAGAACTACTTAAGAGTTTTCTGCCATCATGGTTCTTAGCCTCTCTGTGTTATCTGCCTGCTTTATTCTAAGGAGAACAGAAATGTCAGAGGTCCTTTTCTTTCATCCAAAGACCTGCTGTCCTCACTCTTTGCCTCTTGAACTAAATGAGGTTCCTTTATAAACCTTGGTCCTTTCCATTTAATGCCCCAGGCCATGTTTTTTTCTGGGTTGGAGCCAGCCATTTCCGTTCCTCCTCATCCTGCTGAGGGGCACCTTTGGAAATCAGCCTTAGCCAGATGAGCTGCAGGACCTGAGCTCTCACTGTGTTGTCTCCTCTCTGCATCCTTAGGCGTTGGAACTGGACAGCAATAACGAAAAGGGCCTCTTCCGCCGGGGAGAGGCCCACCTGGCCGTGAATGACTATGACCTGGCACGGGCTGACTTCCAGAAGGTCCTGCAGCTCTACCCCAGCAACAGAGCTGCCAAAGCCCAGCTGGCAGTGTGCCAGCAGCGGATTCGCAAGCAGCTTGCTCGGGAGAAGAAGCTCTATGCCAACATGTTTGAGAGGCTGGCTGAGGAGGAGAGCAAGGTGAGGATCAGGATTGGGAACAATTCGAATGACATCCCTCTGCTCAGCCCAGCTGGTGTGGGCTCTTTGTGCCTATGGTTGTCGGTGCCAACCCTAGAAACTGCAAGTTGCCCTCTCGCCTGGAGCAATAAGGAAGCATGTATGTTCTCTCAGTAATAATCTCTGCTGATAGGACCAGGTTCTTGTGTGATCAGGACTGGAAACCCACCCGTAAGTGTTTAAATAAGTAATATTAAATTGAAATTGCACAAAGGATAGGTGGTAAAAAGTCTGCCTCCCCCTGGAAGCAACTGATCCTTCCAGTTCTTGTATTGTTTAGTATGTTACATGCACAAGCAGACACATTCGTGTTGCTTTCTCCCTTTCCCCTAACAAGAAGCAACATACTCTATTACTTCTCATATTGTATTTTTTCAAATAACAATAGCTGGAAGCTTATTTTACATCAGTTTAAAAGAGCTTTCACATTCTGTTTTAGGCTTACAGAGTATTCCATTGTGTGGATATAGTGTCTCTAACCACTCCCCTATTCTGAGTCTTTCAGTGTTCTAACCCAGCACTGTCCAGTAGAAACATAATGCAAATCACATGTGTAATTATAATTTTCTAGTAGCCATGTTTTTAAAAGGCTAAAAGAAACAATTTTTAATATTTTGGTTAACCCAAGGTATATCTAAAATATTACATCATGTAATTTTTGAAAATTGCATTTGTGTATTTTTTTAGACTAAGTCTTCAAAATCCAATTGTGTATTTTACACTTAAAACACATCTACTTGAACTAGACACATGTAGTAGTGGCTGCCATACCAGATCAAGCATAGTTCTAAATAATATTTTAGTGAATGACCTTATAAATTCATAATTTGAAAATACACAGGTATATCTTTTAGGACAAATCTGGGAGAATTGGCATGTCCATGTAATTCAGGTAGAAACTGTGTGCTTTTTACTTGGGAATTCAGTTCCTCCTCCTTCCTTGCAGGCCAAGGCAGAAGTAGCTGCAGGAGACCATCCCACTGACACAGAGATGAAGGACGAGCAGAAGAACAACATGGCAGGGAGCCAGTCTCAGGTGGAGACAGAAGCATAGCCTCTCCCCAGCCCTTCTGTGGCTGCCTGCCTCCCCTGCTCCCTCCCCTGCTCCACCCTGTTAGTTTTGTAAAAACTGAAGAATTTTGAGTGAATTAGACCTTTATTTTTCTATCTGGATGGTGGTTTTGAGGGGAAGGGGGAAAAGAAGTGGGCTGGGGGGGATTGAGGTAGGGGATAATTTTAAGTGGTATCACCCCCTCTTCCCCACCCATTACACATGAACATATATCCATCCGCACATATTCATCAGAACGTTAATTTATTTTGCTCCCTCTGTTTGTTAGGTCCATTTTTCCAGTGGTAGAAGGGGGCGAGTGGTAGGGATGGGGTCTGATGTGAAACCAGGGTGGAGAGGGAGACTCCTGGGCAGCTGTTTCCTCATCCTTCTCCCCTCCTAGTCCAGTTTCAAACATGTGGCCTCCCACGTGGGTGCTAGGGGCATGGGATAAACCACTGCTATGCCCATTACTTCTCTCTGTCCCCTTCCTCACCCCAGATGGTGTGGCCAATGGTATCTTCTGGTGTCAGGTGACCACCCCCTTTACCCCCTTCCAGTATTTCCCCTGCCTTCTCGGCCAGGTTGTGTCCCACCCCCTCAGCTTCTCTGCACGTTGCTGAAGGTCCAGGCTCACCTCAAGTTCTGTGCTTGAGCAATAAAGTGGAAACAATAAAACCTGGGTGTCAGGCAGCCCTTTCTGTTCAGCTGTGGTGGGTAGGTGTGGCTGGGTACATTATAGGTACTAGCAAAATTAAGTGGTCACCCACTGTCCCCAGTTTAGCTTAAATGCAGTATATAATGTAGACACCATGATTGGGCAGGAAGCAGCCCACTATACAGGGCCTCTGGAGCTGGGACTTGTGCTTGTGGCCTCACCGGAGGTTCCCAGCACTCTCTCGTCCTAGCAGCCTGATGATTTCTAGTACCTCTGGTTTTCTTCCCTAACCCTTAGGAAGAGAAAAGTATCAACATCTAGAAGAACGAGACCGTGTGTTTGTTTTTAAGTTAGATTCTCCTTCTGCCTATCTCTGATCCACAGAGGCTTCTTTGTGCATTCTTAGTTTCTTAACAAGGTAAAACCCCCAATGTCACTGTGCACCTCCTATCAGATACCATTTACATTGATTAAGGGTAAGAGTGAAGCGCTAGGCGGGGCGCGGTGGCTCACACCTGTAACCCTAGCACTCTGGGAGGCCAACGTGGGAGGATCACTTGAGGTCAGGAGTTTGAGACCAGCCTGAGCAAAAGCAAGACCCCTGTCTCTACTAAAAATAGGAAAAATGAGCCGGGCATCGTGGCACATGCCTATAGTCCCAGCTACTCGGGAGGCTAAGGCAGAAGGATCACTTGAGCCTAGGAGTTTAAGGTTGCAGTGGGCTACGGTGATGCCACTGCACTCTATCTTGGGTGACAGAGCAAGAGTCTGTCTGAAAAAAAAGTGAAGCACAGTGGTCACGCCCAGCTTCCTTTCCACCCTTAACAGGAAAAAGCTTGTGCTTTTTTCTAAATGTGCTTTGACCCTTGACTCCTTCAGCATTACGGGACCCTAGGAGAAGCCAGGTGGCACAAGTCAGTCATGCTGAGCCTCCTCCAGGTCCTGGCTGCTGGCTAGAACCCATATTTATGCCCTTACCCCTCTTCTCTCCTGCTGTGTGGGTTCTGCAGACCTTTCTGAACAGTGATGGGGCAGTCTGCCTACCCACATACCTGTACAGTCTTTCCAGAAGAAATTCCTCTATAACTTTTTTGTGGAGGATTACTTTTTGTGTGAAAAAGTTTCACCAAGTCATATAGCATTAGTTGGTGCCAGAACCAGGAGTAAAATGTGGGTATTCAGGTCTCCCAGTGTCACTGCTTGCTCTCTTGCTGGGCGTGCTTCACACTCCTGTGTTTGGAGTTTGTGTCTCGGTCCTTTTGGTATTTTGAAATTTGACCATTGCCCCTCCAGCCAACAACAGCAGCTAACCCTCATTAAGCACTTAGGATATGAGCCTAGCACTGTACCAGGAGCTTCATGAGTTAATCCTCACAGCCATCCTACAAAAGAGGTACTAACCCCATTTTACAGATGTGGAAACCAAGGCTCAGAAGTTAAATGGAAAGGTCTACTGGAAGGTGAATTCTCTGAGCTAATCCAAACTCTGCCATGAGGTTCATGTGACTATGGGCAAGTCTTGAGCCTCTTTACTCATCTGCAAAAATAGTGAGATGATCAAATAGTGGCTCACGCCTTTAATCACAGCACTTTGGGTAGCTGAGGCAGGAAGGTGGCTTGAGGCCAAGAGAGACTAGCCTGAGCAAGATAGCAAGACCCAATCTCTACAAAATATTTTTTAAAATTAGCCAGGTGCGGTGACGCACACATGTAATCCTAGCTACTCAAGAGGCTAAGGCAGGTGGATCATTTGAACCCAGGAGTTCAAGGCTGTAGTGTGCCATGATCATACCACTGCACTCCAGCCTGGGTGACAGAGCAAGACCCTGTCTCTTTATATTTAAAAAAAAAATAAAGGCACTCTTAAGGTCTCTTCCAGATTTGAATTCTGTAGGATTCCAAGAATTTAAAACTTTACTTCTGTAGAACACCGGAGATGGATAAATCTTGGTCCATGTAACACTAAAACTATCTTGTGGGATGTTTTGTTAAAATGGCTAAAAATAATCCTGTCACATACTCAAGTCTGCTCTGGGTCAGTGCTCAAGTTCATTTCCCAATCAGTTGCACCTTCCACACCAGCACTTAAATCTTTATATGCAGGGAATGTGCTTGAATAAGGAAAATTAGTAGCCACCAGTACTGTTAGCTGTTAACTGCAGATTTGCAAGTGGTCTCTGGGAGAAAAAAATGAAGTTTATCTTGTCCTAGTGCTGCTCCAATATCAAGTTCTATAAGTTTTTTTTTTTTTTTTTTTTTTTTTTTTTTTTTTTTTTTTTTGAGACAGAGTCTCGCTCTGTTGCCCAGGCTAGAGTGAGTGCCGTGGCGTCAGCCTAGCTCACAGCAACCTCAAACTCCTGGGCTCAAGCGATCCTCCTGCCTCAGCCTCCCGAGTAGCTGGGACTACAGGCATGCGCCACCATGCCCGGCTAATTTTTTCTATATATTTTAGTTGTCTGATTAATTTCTTTCTATTTTTAGTAGAGACAGGGTCTCGCTCTTGCTCAGGCTGGTCTCGAACTCCTGAGCTCAAACGATCCACCCGCCTTGGCCTCCCAGAGAGCTAGGATTACAGGCGTGAGCCACCCTGCCCGGCCAAGTTCTATAAATTTTTATATCCTAAGTTCTCTCTATCCTACCAACACCCCCTCCCCAACATCACCATGCACTCCACCCTGCTGTCCTGCAAAAGACTCCTGTCTTTCACTGTCTCCTGCCCCACCTGCAGTTCATTCTGCACTGCATTCAAATCTTGTCCATCCAACTACTTAAATCACTTTCAATGGCTTCTCATCTCATTTAGGCTAAAAATCAGAATCCGTGGACAAAGCCCTGCAAGGCTTGACCAGGCCTGCCCCAAGAGCTCCAATGTACTTGGTATTCCCCTTCACCAGCTACACCGCCCTGAAGGTAAAAGCTGGAGGAGAATTGTGTATCCCATTTAAATTGGACAAGAAATATGTGGAAGATACTCTAGGCAGGACTAGTAAAAAGTAGTGCCTTTTTAGAAAATCGTTACTGGAAAATAAACAGTGGGACATTTCATGCCTTATGCCTCTTAAATCTTGATGGCTAATTTCCCTTTCCAAATGCAGAACACCTCAGAACGTTGTAACCCAAGTTGCAATGACAGTGAACTAAGGGCAGTACTGAATAAAGCCAATGTAGGAGTCAGCATACATTCTAAGAAAGGGGAAAACTTGTCTTTCTGTAAGTTGTTATTGCTGACTTATGGCTATAGTTCCCCAGTTGCTTGTCCACCCCCAATAATGTGGATGTACGAACTATCCCCAGTTATGAAATCAACATTATTTTAGCATGTATTAAACATTATTATACCAGTTTGAGAGGCAAAGAAAGAATGCAAGTTTCTTAGGAGGGATGATCAAGAAAGCAATGTCTTCATGAACTTCTTGGGTCCTCTGGCTAGAGCAGAGGATTGGCCACATCCCATCCCTCACCCCCAAGACAGGCATGTTTATTCCTTGGAATCTTCACTATTCCACTCTTAGAAGTACATCAGACATAAAATGGTTCTTTTTGTATTTTTTTTTAGGTGAAATTCCCATTTAATATTGTTTTAGAGGCGGCGTCTTGCTCTGTCCCCAGGTGTTTGCCAACCCCAGGCTGGAGTGCAGTGTCCCAGTCATAGCTCACTGCAGCCTCAAACTCCTGGGCTGAAGCAGTCCTCCTGCCTCAACCTCCCAAGTAGCTAAGATTACAGGTACCCAGCTTAAAATTCACATTTTTAGGTAAAACAAGATTAACCAGGGCAGCCATGGTGGTTCATACCTGTAATCCCAGCACTTTGGGAGGCTGAGGCAGGAGGATCACTTGAGGCCAGGACTTCAAGACCAGCCGGGGCAACACAGTGAGACCCCATCTGTAGAAAAGAATTTTAAAAGATTAACCAATTTAAAGTGAAGAATTCAGTGTCATTTAGTCCACTTAAAATGTTGTACAACCACCATTTCTATCTAGTTTTGAAACACCTTCATCCTTTGTGTTTTAAGCCCCCTTCCTCACATTTAAGCTTGAGTGACAGAACTTCTCATCCTTCAGTTAAGTCTTGAACAGACAGCCCTGACAGGTTCTAGGATCAAAGCTTTCCAGAGTTGGAGGCCCTTTCTGATCAGGCCAAACTTGTGGACAGGGATGAAACTCAAAAGTGGAGCTCTGAATAACAAACAGCATTTCACTCAGAGCAGAGCTGCCCACACTTGTTCTGCCCAATTTCTAGGTTAAGTAAGTTTGAGAAACAGGTTTCTGTACTTCATGACTTTTAATAAACTAATATGCTCAGATGTACTGAGAATGAGAGAGGGAAGGGGAATGGTGATACAAGTCAAACCGAGCCCATTAGGAAGGCCTGGGCCCTGTCCCCGAGTGATGATGCTCTAGGCTTCATGTGCTGAAAGAGCTCTGAAGGCTCTGTTCTTACCTGGGCGCTGTGGGTAGACACAGCTAGGGTAGGGGCACTCTGTCCACTGTTGGAGGATGAAGAGGAAAGAATCTCCCTAGAAATGCTTCTCAGTTTAACCACCCCCCACAAATCCCCTGCGATGGAAGCTTCTACTGAAGCTATTGTTTGGTTTGTAAAGAATATGCCACCCACACAACCGTGTCCATGTTACCTAACCAGGAAGGTAGCCTGGTTGGACAGTTCTGGGGCATAAGCCAAAAACCAGCTGAAAGAGTGCTCAGCTTAGCCAAGATGGAGTCTAGACAGTGCCAGTAGAGACCCACCAGCCATCCCACTAGAAAGGGCCAAGAGCAAGGGTGCTCTTTGCGGAGCCAGGAATCTGTCCACATGGCTCTATAATGCCTAGTCATGCCTTTTACTTACTGTGAATGTCAGGCATAGGCATGGAAAGATATGATTTGTGTGCTGTTTCTTAGAGATCTATCTATCTCCCTTTCTAACTGTATTTAGTCTCTCTTGACAAAAGCCTGAAGGAATAGTATAGAAGTTGTGATCATAATGACATGACCTCCATGACAAACATACTCTACAAACAAACACCCTCTAGCACAGAAAGATCCAGAACAAGAAGTCCAAACAATGAGGAAGATAAAACTAATGCATTGTGGAGTGCCGGGTCTGGGTATGATTTTAGAGAACTGGGTCAGACCAGGGCACTTGGTAACAAAAGCAGGGCGATCCTCATCTATTTTGTCCTGAGTTATTTATTTCTCTTACAATTTCACTCAGCTGAAAAAAGAGAAAGTGAAGAAATAAACACATAATTCAAATACTTAACTTTAGAGGTAAACATTTTAAAATTGGTTTTTGTTTTTCTGCACTTTAAAACCTAATATGGGCCAGGCGTGGTGGCTCACGCCTGTAATCCTAGCACTCCGGGAGGCCGAAGCGGGCGGATCATTTGAGCTCAGGAGCCGACACCAGCCTGAGCAAGAGCGAGACCCCGTCTCTACTAAAAATATATATATATGTATAAAATTAGCCGGGCATGGTGGCACATGCCTATAGTCCCAGCTACCCAGGAGGCTGAGGCAGGAGGATCACTTGAGCCCAGGAGTTTGAGGTTTCTGTGAGCTAGGCTGACGCCACTGCACTCTAGCCCAGGCAACAGAGTGAGACTCTGTCTCAAAAAAAAAAAAAAACCTAGTATGAAGCTTAGGATTTGAGCTAGGCTGAGAGAATAATAGAGATGTGACAGAACACAGGGTGAGGTAGCATGCAGCCCCTCAATAAATGAGATAATGTATTCAAAGGGTGACCCAGTGCCTTTGAACGGACCTGGCCATGCCCACAGCATACCACCAGAAACAGGAACTTGTAAGCAGTTCAGCTTCAGGCCCCAGTATTTGTTTAGACTGAACTGCTATTCATCTTCTCACCATCTCTGGCTGTCAGATCCATTGGGACCTCTGCAACAAAATCTACCATTTCCCCTCCTCCAAGCAAAAAGTTCTTGCCCACCAGCCTTCTCCCACTATTCCAGACGTAGAAAGTAGAACCAGTCCCTGGACCAACAACCCCAGGTAGATATCCTCTTTTTTCTTTTTTTAAGATCATGTGCAAATCAGCCTGGGCTTGCAGACTTAAACCTAAAAAACATAATGAGCACCTATAGTATCTCATAAATAATACTCAATTGCCCTGACTGATGAGGCACCCCAAAGAAAAGCAGGACTGGATTCAACATGGAAAGTAAGAAACCAGCCATGAGAGTAATGGTCCCATCTATGCTACACAGTAAGGTGAGAGAGAGAGAGGGGGGCAAGAACTCTGTACTGGGGGCGTAACAGGCAGAGCTGATTCAGTTCCTGGCAGTCCTCAATTCCAGCCTGAGGGCTTTCCTAGGAACTAGAACTATGGCAGTAAATGACAGAAAGGCCCTGGGGTTTGGGATCATACAGTTCTGGTTTGAGCAGCCTCCCTACCCAAACTTTCTGCCATTTTACTTAATCTTGCTGAACCTGTTTTCCCCATCCAAGAAACAAAGGGATAAGAATACAAGCTCACATGGTAGTCATGCTAATTACATGAAATGATATGTGAAGTGTGCTTTGCAGAAGGTGATTTTGAAACTACTGACCACAAAAAAATTTTTTTTTTTACATTATAAGCCAGTATACACATATAAGTATATACAATTGAAACAAGGGTTTCACAAAAACAGTACTTACCTTACTACTCAGAAG